ACATTCATTAATGTCAGTTAAAATAGAGGGAGCACAGTGCGACTAGACCAGGTTCATGCTTCAATAAATTCACCAAACTTAACAAACAATAAACTTACTCTATATGGATAATTGAGAAAATTACTTGACTAATATTATATGAGAAAATATGAAAAATATTCATATTTTGCAGCTGTCTGTTGGACTGCGGGAACAAATTATATCTGGATGAAACTATCATTGTGTTTGTGATTATATTGAATCACAGCCTATCAAATTACATAATATATTCAAAACCAAGAAAAACAGTGAATATAATTACCAAAAAAAAAAAGAATGTCTACATATTTATTCATGTAAGCCTACTTGTTTGATTAGATTCTTTTCAGAAGTATTTGTTAATAAAACTAGACATAGCAGCATAAACACACAATAGAGACATTATTTTTAGTATTTAATAGATATTACATACATTGTATACTTCTATCGGTTATTATAATATACTTTTCTGTTGTGTTTTTTTTTAAAAGCGGGATCTATATCATGGTAAATAGATAACATAATGACATGTATATTCTCTTTAAATTTTTTCTACCAATTATTTTTTTCGTGAAAAAACACTAGAGAATTTCTATAAAGAAATAATTTTGAAATTATTTTGTTGAAAATGATTAATGTCCATTTGAATTGTCAATTTAAAAAGTTGTGATAAATGATAACATACAGACTGAAATACAAGTTTGAAATTGAATTGTGTCAAAGACAATCTTTTAGTTTCATGATTCCATATATATTTGGCTGATTAATTGGAATCAAAATGAAATGTTGGACAGTTCATTTTGTTTTATAGACAGAAAGCAAATTAGAAATTTAAATAAATGAGAGCTTATGGTGTGATAAAGAAATATTGTGAAGAAGCTAGTTCATTATTCTTATCGTAAATTGATAAGACAGAAATATATCAGCCAGTATCATGTTTATGTCATTAACAGAAACATCCGTCAATTCCCCCCTCTCTCGGAGGGGGCAACTCTTGTGTATTATAATTAATATATAAACCTGCTGAGACTAGATTATAATCAAATAATATTATCTGGAGGTCAAAGTTCATAAAAAATGATTAGCTAACCAACATGATATTATATATCTGATCTAATATTTTCAATTAGTATATGATTTTTTTAAAATTTGGAAATGGATTGAATTAGAAATTTTGATGTAATGAATCAAATTAATTTTTTTTCTAAATTGGTAATTGGACTATTAATTATAAAAGATCTGCATATATTGGTAGGCAATATCAAGAATGTGTCCCATTTAGTTGTTATTGAGAATCATCTGTATTATTCAGAATGCTACACAACAAATTGTCAAGAAACGAAGCATTGCCTGGAAACGAAAATATTCCTATCAGCAACTTTGTGGAGGCGGGTAGCAGGCACATCACAAGATGTTGCTGTGTTATGAAAGCAACAATTCCTTTACAAAAACTCTTAAGATTTGGAATGGGTACAAGGAAGAATATTTCAGTGAATGAACATCGATAGGATTCCCCCTTATGATTGCTAAACAGTCCTATTAAGTTTGAAAAAAAACCTCTTTCCTAATACAATAGGGACAATAAATGGGCATCTGAGAACTTTGATAGGTTCCTTGTGTAATTGTTTGCAAAATTGGTTTATTTGGTAGAATGTATGGTAATACTACCATAATAACAAATATTATTGCATTTAGAGACATCAGTAGGATTTTTGGCATGGAATTGAATGGGAAATCGGTGGTGTTGGAAGAACATGGTGGCGTAGCAGCCTTATTTAAAAAATATTCTCAACTTCTTAGGCAAAAGAAATAAATATCTGTGTTTACAGGACAAAAGCTATTTTATAGAGCTAAAATCTTGAGCTTCTTTTACCCTATTTCTTGCCATGGTTTTCTGCAGACAAATTCAAACACTGAGATTTCCATATTTTCTAGTTCTGATGGTCTGGACTCCATTTGCCAAGGCACATAATTCTAGAGACCATGAGGTTGTTGCCTGTCAGTCTTATTTACAGTCTCTGATACAACATAGAGGACTTTGTCTGAATGACCCATTTCAGCAAGTGGTCATTTCAATTTCATTTAAAAAGACAACTATCAATTTGTATCTTGGTTCATTTGAAAATCGGGGGTCACAGTGGCTAAGTGGGTAAGACCCTGGCTCGCTAGCCTGGAGTTCGGGTGTTCGATCCCTGCATTGGCTGAGAAAGTTCATCCAGATTTTCCGCCGTGGTTCCCCCTTGTCAGCTGTCTAGTGGTTCGGATGGGACAAAAAAACGAGGTCCCTTGTACACATTGGTGTGGACCTAAAAGATCCCTTGACTGTTGGAATTCTATATAAGAGTAGGCCGCGGGGGGTTGGATGGCTGAATGGTTATCACGTGCACGCTGTATCATAAAGCCTTTCATTGAGTCAACTGGCGTGGTTTCGAATCCCCGATTGTACGTGACAAGGAGTAGGGTCGCCTGTCCAACCTCGTGGGTTTTCTCCGGGTCCTCCGGTTTCCTCCCACTGCTAAAGACCCCTACGTGCAAGCGAATTATTGAAATAAAATTAAACCATATGTTAGTCCCGAAATGACCTAGTTTGTGTCTAGTGGATGTTAAGCCCCATTTCTCTCTCTCTCTCTCCCCGTAGTGCCGCTGTCCACACAAAATTTCCCTCATAGCACACTGTATAGCGTATGCCCGTCTTCATTAGCCCAGTTTGGAGAAGAACAGTAGAACGTTAAACCCCATTTCATTTCATTTTCATTTTAAAATCGATACATTTGACATGAATATATCAAAAGTTTGACATGGGCAACAACCCTATTCCATAGTAGCCGATATGGTTTCACCTTATAAATAGCCAAACAATCCTAGTTTTAATTTATAAATCGCAAAGCTCTGATATGTATAGCTGCGTTTACAAGGTTTCGCTAAAAAAGACAATTGCTCTGCAAAACATTTGATGTACAACTCGGTACTTGGATTAGCCAAACAATCAGAGCAAGTTTGAACAAAATTCTCAAAACCTCTTGTTTACAAGAATTGTGAATAAACAGAGGTAACAATATACTCCCACATAAAATGTGAGAATAAAAATGCTTTTTGAAACACTTTCTGCTTTTCAGAAACCACAGGATTCAAGTCTTGTACCTTTTCTTGTACTATTGTCAAAAGTTTCTGACATTTAAAAAATTCAACATTTTATATGACATTTTCCCATAGATTTTAAAAATATAAGAAGATCTAAAGAAGTTTAAATGCTGATGTTAAGTAGTGTGATCTGTTTCTATTCACAGATGTCCAAAATATCATATAATTCAGATGAAACTAAGTATTAATAAATAAACAGTACAAGTATTTTAATCAGAAATAATTGAGGACAGAAAATCCCTCAAGTATGAAAATAAATCTAGACTTGTTGGTCTCCAGGTTTTTTTCTTTATTTCATGCATCAGAAATTTTTATTTTTTTGTTCTGTAATTTAGAAAGACATTCATATATTTTGTCACTTTAATAAACATATTGTCTGTCTTGACCTTCATCTATCATCAATTATTTTAGGTCAGCATAGATTTCTTCTGGAAGTAGTCTTCATCACCATTTATTCATTGATAAACAAACCTTTCAATTTATTAGACATAGATCTCTTTCAGTAACTAGTTATTTCTGCACACACTTTAATCTCCACAATTTTGGCATGCCATGTTTCTAATCAGTACCCCAGTGAGTTTATATCTATTGTGATTCAATTTTCATTGTATCAAACACAATGAGCTCCCGTTTCACATTGACGAAGTTATCAGGTACGTGGATGACCTTGTATCACCTGAACATACTCTAATTGTCCCTTGATAACACTGTAGCATTGGAAGGACCCACATGTGTGCCTTTATGATTAATATTGCTAAAATAGCCATTGCCATTCATTAAAAGCACACACACTGAAAAATGAGAGCCATCATACTATCCAAATGCCAGCAACTAATTTGATAGTATTAATTTTGAAATAAATGAAAATTGACGTCAAAATTCAAAAAATATATGCAAAGTAGGCAAAATAAAGTTCATGTGTCTGTATGATCATAAAGAATTGACTTGACTATACAATACAGATGTATGAACAGGAAATGAATTAATGTAATTGTTGTTTATAGTAGTTATAATGCTTGGAGTTGAAGCAAGTGTGGTGGTCAGGGCATTGATCGTTGCTCATGCGTTTTCTTGTACCCATTAGAATAATAATCACGTCACAGACATTTTTTTTGTGTGAAAATAGGATAGATATAATAGACTTATTTACTGTGGAAAGTTAGAAATTTGTTTAGTGCAGTCTAATCTCTGATGTCTAATCAAGATATCAAATGACTAAAAAAGACCATTTACATTGAACATGTGTTGTTAGTCCCTATTGATGTTTTTCTCTAACAAATCCCATATTGATCAGGCTCATTTTTTTCTCTTGTATAATCGCGAATAATGTTGCATATATTTCCTGTGGTGGATCTTCTAAGAAAAACATATCAAACAGATGTGGATAGATATGGTGATGACGATTGTGTGTATCGATAAACAAATCACAGCAGTAAGATCAAGACTGGGGCTTGTTGGGTGTAAACACAAGTGGGCGTGTGCCAAACAAAATAAAACTCCATCCGATGAGCCGACTTAATTACTCAAACATGCACCAAATGTTTTATTGGTGAGGAATCGTAGTCACGCTTTCATCCCCAGGATTACAGACATTTTACATCAAGAATAGAGATGGTGACCTTTCAGTCTGCTTGTTTCATTAACACCTGTGATTCCCAAAACTTAGCAAACTAAACCTTTTAATAACATCCGCGCTGGGTGTACTCATTCTTTTACACAAACATTCAACCAGCCAAAAATATAACATTGTATTGTTATTTTTTCCTATTGTTTAGAAACTTAATCACATCAGTTTAATTTTTTTGACTGATGAAAACTAATTTTAAGAGGTTTTTTTTTCTTCCATAAATTAACATCTGCAATTTCCTGCTAGGTTTACCCAAAACATATTATTGAAAAAAATTAACAAAATGAACACAATGAAGTTTATTCTTAAGGTAAGATTTAATCTCATTACTTTACTTAGCAGGGAATATCATGATCCTTTCAAAAGCAATGTCCATTAACAAAGCAAAAAATAAAAACCTTAATTAATAGTTGATAACCATCAAAAGATAAAGTCATAAACATCAAATTCTAATATTGGAAAATCATTAATACTGTTTTTATCTAGTTAGAATAAGTTCATTGAAACATATGATAATCATCTATTTTACTCTGTTAAGATTTGAAATTAACTCCTAATGGGTCACGATCTGTTCTTTTTATAAATCTGTATTTATAATCAAACAAAACAGAAAATTATATTTAGACCACCATCTATTACACAAGACTCTCTCTGACTTATGTTAAGCTTACAAATGACGGTATGTCTCTCCTGTTTTCACCTTAAAAATGTTATGACATAGGGTAGCGGATCATTTAATAACCTGGTTTTTCCCATGTTCTATTTTAATAATACCTCACACAGGAACTTAGTGCAATATTATTGAATATGTGTTGATAAGTTCTGCGATAAAGTGAAAGTTTATAAACACATCAGTCTTCAGATAGAACATTATCTTTACTCTGTGTTATACAATCTCCAATGGTCTGGTACATATCTCAAGTACAGTTTACATATTCCAGCATACATAAGCTACATCATGAATATGGTATTTAGATTTGAGGTATTATCTCGACCCCATGCCAGATGTAGTCTTCTTCCAGTCCTTTAATCCTGTTTTTAAAAAAAAAAAAATGAATGTTTAGGACAGGTTGGACGCTTACACAATAAGCACCAAGTATAGTTTACAGATACCAGCATACCTGAGCTACATCCTGAATATGGTATTAATATTTGTCAAGAAAAAACACCCATGTAGATGTGATTTAGATTTGAGGTACTATCTCAATCCCATGCCAGCTGTAGTTCTCTTCCAGTCCTTTAATCCTGTTTTTAAAAAAAAAAAAAAAAATAAAGTTTAGGACAGGTTGGACGCTAACACAATAAGCACCAACTGGTGGTAAATTTGTCTGTACAGTCAAACAGGGACAATCACTTGATGAAAGTTTATCAGATTATCAGATTTAACCACAAGATAATCTAGTGGTAGGGAAATGACATTGTAAATAATCCTAACATGAGATGATTTTTGATAGAGTTTATCCATATGATGATACAGTTATACATCATTAACTTTGCAGTCTGAGATGTGTACAGGTTTTTAGAGGCAAGATCAATACCTCCCATGAGTAGCAGATATGCCTATTTGATTAAACCAATCAGGCATGGACAATAATATAATCCTCAATAAATTGTCCCAATAGCATGTTTCCAAGGCAAGGGCAACAACTACATAAGTTATGGTGGAATTACAGTAACTTTCAATCGTGAGTTCATCCTTATAATGGTACAAATAAACACTTTTACAGTGATTTAAAATGTACAGATGTTTGATATGGTTCATCCTTTTAAAACATTATAAATAACCTTTCCATGAAACTTGTTCATACAAAATGTAAACAGACATGGGTGACAACAATATGTAACCACATTAAATATGATTATCTCACATATTTTCATACACATTTATATACATCAAGTAACATTTAAACATACATTATGCAAGAGTTAAATCTGCCTATTGCAGGTCTTTCTTTAGGCCTGAAATATTATCTAAATTATTAATTTAATTAACTTATCCAAACCATAATCAACTCTGGATGTCATCGCTAGCCTGCAATATTTACTGGATTATGATCCCATTTGCTGCTCAACTTTCATTCATGATTTAATCATGAAATAGATAATCGAGACTATGTTTTTTATCGTACCGACTTTAGTAATGATGATCAAGGCGAGGCCGAAATTTCAGTGGCTTAATTCTCAGTTTATTATCTAGTTTTTAACTATTATAGTGAGAACTGCCAGCTCTTTATCTAATCTCCCATAATGTATCTTTAATTCATATGGATACTGTAGGTTTTATTCACGTCACAGATATGCACATAAATATGAAAAGAATAGTTTCAAATCCATTAGTGATTTTTTTAATAAGTTTATGAATAAATGTTTGACATCTGAAATATTTAGGCTTTGTAGTGAACACATCTGAATAACTTACCTTATCCTATAGTCATCACAAAGTACTGTATTGTGTCAACACCACTTGCCAAGAATATTGGTACAGTAGACAAGCAAGGGAAGTAACCAGTTTCCAAATGTATTTTAAAGAAAATGATTTAGCCAATTCTTATGTTTTTCTAGTCAAAGTGAACATTACAAATAAACTAATGTAATATATTATAGATTTGATAACTTACCTTTTTTGTCCCCCACCCGAGGGATTGTTAAAATTGGTTCATTTGTCTGTCTGTCCATCACACCTTTTGGGACACAACAACTCTACTTCTAATTGAGCTAGAATGTTTAAAATTTGGATAGATGTTCATTAGGTGAATGTCCTCACTGTTTGATGATATTTGGAAGAGTTCAGTGATGAACATTTACTGCTTAGGTACAGCAGGGATTAGAAAATTGATAGGTTGAAATTTGTGATACAATAACTCTGCCATTAATTGAGGTAGACACTTGTTTAGTGAATGAGCATTATTATATGTCCACATTTTCATGTGGACATGTATTGTCATCGCCCCTCTTCGTCCATGCACAATTTGTTTGTGGACACTCTACAGGTCACAGTTCTTGTCCAATTTTGACGAAACTTGAATGATAGGTTTATCTCCAAAAGATCTGATTTTGATGAAACTTGAAATGCGTATTTTTAACCCAAAGATCTTGGTTCTTTTCGATATTTGCGCATATCGGATCATAACTTCCTGAATTATGGCCCGTGATTGTACAAAAAAATCGTGTTTTTAGCTTGTGGTCCCTCTAGAGGTCACAATTATTATCTGATTTAAGAAACCGTTTGCTGGACAAAATGGCTTCCCCTCGTACGCAAATAGTGTAATTAATTGGTATATCAACGTTGTGGACCCTCTAGAGGCCACAATTTCGATCCGATTTCGATGTAACTTTAAATTTATGTTTATATCACAAAGGTCTTGGTTCCTTTTGATAATCGCGCATATGTGAACATAACTCCCTGGATTATAGATCCCCGATTGTTTGAAAAATCGAATTTTTAGCTTGTGAACCTGCTAGAAGTCATAATTTGTATTCAATTTTGAAAAACGATTAAATATATCACTGTTACACATCAGTGAAGGTTGAGTTTGAATTGTGGACCCGCTAGAAGTCATAATTTGTATTCCATTTAAAGAAACGTTTAAATATATCACTGTTACACATCAATGAAGGTTGAGTTCGATTTTAGTGAAAATCGGACCGAAACTGCCTGAAAAAAATGGCAGCTACTTTTACACAAATAGTGTAAAAGTATGTATTACCATGGTTGTGGACCCTCTAGATTTCACAATTTTGATCCGATTTTGATGAAACTTAAAATATATCTTTATGTCCCAAATATCTCAGTCCATTTCGATATTTACACATTTCAGACCATAACTTCTTGGATTATGGCCCCTGATTGTAAGAAAAATTGCTTTTTTTTTATTAGCTTGTTCTCTATCCATGTCTTGCAAAATGTGGACGTATCTTGCCTAGCAACCGCTGGTCTGGCAGTCCCACCTTTTGGAACACAATAACTCTGCTTCTGAGATAAGCAATTTGATTGACCAAGACCCGAGAACCCAGTTACTGGGTGCAGAAATAACTTCGAGTCTAATTGCGTGAGAATGATGAAACTTGGTGAATAGTTTTATTGCTTTAATCAATACCTTGACTGATATTAACAATCAGAATTTTTTGCTTAGGCTAAGCACATATAAGCAATTTGATTGTCGATGCTTTCGAACACAATAATTCTGTTTCTATTTTTTAAGTGAGAGTGTTGAAACATGGTGTATATATATAGTTTCTTTACATCTATACCTTGACTAAGTTTGATAATGAGCAGGTTCTGTTCAAATTAACCATGGACCTTATAAAGAAAAATAAGGTCCATGGTTAAACAGAGTAATTTATTGATCTAGGTTTTATATAAAGATAAATGTGCAACTAATTAATGAGTGTCATCTTGTTATGTTGAAGCCTGGGACATCAGCCTTACTGTTGACTTGTTTTGACTGAAATAAGAATTGCCAATTAGTTAACTAGAATTTAACGTTCATATATAAAAATATGTTTGTATTCATCTAGATTATCAATTAATGACCTTTTTCTCTGTACAATTATTATTACGTTTTCTCTTACGGAGAAGAGAACAATTTGATTTGGACACTGGGTTGATGATGACATGAAAGTGCCCTGTTCAAATCCTGGGGCGAGTAAATTCTTTGTAATTTTTCAAGCCCAGATCTTGCATGCAAGGTCTGAGGGCATGGTTGTTTCTTCATAATGATAATTGATTATTTTTAATTCATGTATATGAAAGAGATTAAGTTACAAGAACTAAGTAAAAAAAAATGTTATATTAGATGATTTGTTAAAGGAGCTAATTCTTTAATCTTTGGCACCTAGAACTAGAAATGGACACAAATGGGTCACAATGCATATAATTTTGTAACATGAATGTATGTAAACTGATTTACATTAAATTGTTTCTGTTTTTACTGTAATTTCTAATTTGTTATGTTCAGGGAAATACGCGAAGAGTCACAATTGAGTAGCATTCTTTGGCATCTGGTTATTCCAGTCTACATTGGTAGTATTCTCCCCTGGGATATGTTTAGCCTGGTTCATCGAGTTGTATCATTACAAAAGCATTCTGGCACACGATTCGTGTGCCAATTTTTTAAATGTTCACTGTATCTTAAATATTGGATATCAGAAGCTCATATTTTCATGGTAAGATATCAACATCAATGTGGATTTAAATTGACCAAAAAGTTGCAATTGCTGTATCAAAGGCTGTGGATGATATTGAGTGAAAGACTTAGCTACTTTTAACATTTCACTGAAGTGATTTTAAATATATGATTACGGTATGTTGCTTGTTATCGTATCCATATATAATGTTATATATTGACTATAGATGAAAGTAAAATATTGTTAATCCAATTCCATTATTACCAGTTAGTCAATTTTTTGTTTTGCTTAGTTTGTGTGTGACTTGAAATTCATATATTGCCAAGGTAGATGTGATCGGAACTTAACTTCCTGGATTATGGCCCCTGATTTCTTGTGGTCCCTCCAGTGGTCACAGTTTTTATCCGATTTTAAAAACCTGTCAAGTGCATCACCTTTACACTCTAATGACGTTTTGAGTTCGAATTTCATGAAAATCGGTCTTAAACTGTCCGGCAAACAGGATGCTCCTTGCACACAAATAATGTAAACGTATGTGATACCAAGGTTGTGGACCCTTTGGGGGTCACAATTGTTATCTGATTCTGATGAAACTTTTAATATATTTGTGATATTCCAAAGATCTTGGTTCGTTTTGATATTCGCGCATATTGAACTGTAATTTTCTGGATTTTTTAGCTTGTTCTCTGTCCGTATCTTGCTTGGCAACCGCTTGTTTTCCACAAGATTTTACATGATACAGTGTTGTAGCATGGCCTTACTGGAATTGTAAAAACTTTCCTTGAGGATTAAGTGCATAAAACCTTGGGGAGGGTTCACAATGAAACAAAATTTCAACACCATTCAGATAATTACAGAATTTTTTTGTGGGTGTCACACATGATACAAATCAAAATTGTTTAAAAAATTGCTATTCACAATACAATGTAGTGTAGGTTCATGTTTAGTTCATTTCGACTATCAGTATATTTAAACAACGCAAACTAAAAGTATAAAAGTTCTGAAATTTGTTTAAATTAATATGATACTGTTAATTTGTGAAGGAACAATTAATGTTGTTTTTTTTCAGGACACATTTGTTACGATGAAAGTGACAGCTTGATTTTGATGTACTTAAGTTTAAAATAAAATTGCTACATGATATAATGCTTTCGATTTATAAAGGGGATGAAGGTTTCATTGAAAGATCTGTCTGCAGTATGTGTGTGGTTCAACTTGATTTTTTCCTTAGTGAGACTCACCTAAAATGAAAACAAAAATTAAGAACAATGCATCAAAAAGCTGGAATTATTTAAGCCATTTTGACTTATTTTGACAAAACATGATATCCTTTGTTTGTTTGTCTAGTTTAAAACTATCATCATTACATATGAAGTTTCATAATTGGTGTTCTTGCCAAGAAAATTTAATGAGAAAACAGAAGGAAAAAAGCTCAAAAAATCAACCATGAATCTTTAAACAAACAGAAAAATTCATTAGTAGGGAGTAAATGTAATTTACAGTAAGGATTTGCCGCAAGGGAGATATATTTCATAGCTAGAGATATTTCTCTGTCTTTTTGTTAATTGTTTTACCATAGCACTATCTTAACCAGGCCAGAAATATGCCAAATATTCTCAAGCAGCTAACTCATTAAGAGGAGTAAAGTTTATTCCATCTGCATGGGGTGTTCTTTACTGTTTAATTGTTATTAGTGTGTGGGATAGCAGGGTTTCTGCTGTGTTTGGTCATTATCTTCTGTTTAATGTTAAAAAGCAGACGGTTACAGCCTTCCAATGAACATATGATGCTTACAGAGGTTATTTTCACTGAATGATGTACAAAATTAATTGGATGTAGCATAAACAGGAAATAATCAATTGAGCTGGTCTCAAAATTAAGAAAGATTAAATAATTATAGAATAAACACCTCAATGTATTACATGCCAATCAAATTGGTGGCTGCTCCATTCTTCCCATTATATAGGGCATCATAAAATATAAAAAAGTAGGAATAAAGATCCAATCTTAATTAATACCAGATGAAAAAGAGAAAACACCACAATATCTTCATTTCCTTTAACCATTTTCTAGCAAAATTAATTGACAGAGAAAACGAGAAGAAGAAGAAAAAAAACTACTGAAGAAAATATTGCCAGAAACATTCCCATTTTGATAAGAATTCTTTAAACAAGTATATTAAACTGGTTGATTATAAACTTGTAGTGCTTCTGCTAAATTAAACACGTATTGTGGATAACATTGTGTATTTAATTTGTTGTTTATAGTTATACCCTTCCTTTCTCTCTCTGATACATCAATATAATTTTATGTATGTTCTGTTCGATGGAAATCCACTTTAATGGATGAAAAA